GCTTGTCGTGTCCCCCAAAGGCAAGTGAGAATCTTCCAACGTTCGTCTGTCAATGAAACAAGGTGAGGAGATGGACTCTGATCGTACGATAATAGTTTGAATTAACGATGGCTTTCAGCGTCAGGAGCTACTTTGCTAACGCCCCCTTGCTGGCACTACTCTAGACTTGACGCCATTGGTGCTACTATGGGAAGAGAAGATGTTTCTAACAAATGAAACAAGTCGCATTCCTGAGTATATCTCAGAGAAATGCAATATTTCGTTGATATAGGGCAATACCCAGCACAAGAATGTTCCTCATTTCACTACTGAAGAGTTTGTATTTTCTCGTCAATATTGTAATATTAAAACACAAATAGCAACTTCAAGAAACAATTACGGTAGTAATAACAAGAATAGACGGTTATACCATCTACAAAGTCCATGATTTTACTTTGACCAAAGAGCGGCATAGTAGTCGGTGCTACCGAGCGTATACCCACTGACGACCGTTGGATAATAACCTTGTCCGGTGATGGTATTGAACTGGGTCTGGTACTGGTCCGAAGTCATACCATGCCTGGCGACCCAAGCAGGACCACTCTTCTTCTCCCAAATGGCGGCATAGTAATCGACACCATTGACACCATAGCCACTGACGACAGTAGGCCTATACCCCTGAGCAGTCATCGTGTTGAATTCTTGTTGGTACTGAGCAGAGGTGAGACCATGACGAGCGGACCAGGCAGAGCTGTCATTGGGAGTCTTTTCCCAGAGGGCAGCATAGCGAGCTTCAGTGCCGATGGCGTACCCACTGACATGCTTCAAACGGTACCCCTGTGCTAGATACGTGTTGAACTGGGATTGGTACTCGGACGCTGTCATACGGTGTCTCGCGACCCACGCTCCACTGGTCGACTTGTCCCAAATGGCGACGTAGCGGTCTTGTCCACTGACCGTATACCCATTAACGAGGATGGGGCGGTATCCCTGGGAGGTGTAGGTGTTGAAAGCGGCTTGGTATTCGTCAGAGGTCATGCCGTGGCGTGCGACCCAGGCGGGGACCCATCCCGATGGTTTTTGCCAGATGGCGGCGAAGCGCGGGGAGTTGGAGATGGTGTAGCCGGATACGTAGGTGGGTTTGTAGCCTTGAGCGACGAGGTCGTTCATGGTGGATTGGTATTGGTCGGAGGTGAGGCGGTGGCGGGCTACCCAGGGGTTGGCAGCGAGCGCCATGACCGCAAAGAGCGCCCAGGTAAAGAGGAGTTTGAGGAGTGCCATTTGATGTAGGCTAAAAACGAGCGAAGTGTGTTTTCGTTGGGGGTAAAAGAGATGTTTTTGGCAGACTATATATGGGGTTTGGAGGGGCGTTGGAGGGACGTTTCAGGGTGTTGGCGGCGGATCGGTGAAAGTGAGGGTAGCGCCTCTCGTAGACATTTCAATCCATGCGAAACGTCTTTTTGTGTTGTGATTTCGGATTTTCAGAAAAGGTAGACCGGCGTTGGAAAGGGAGAGGGGAGAAAGTCGTTGGCCGGTCAGCGATGTGCGCGAGGCTCCTCTTGGCATACTCAACTTGACTTTCCGACATATAACTGACATTATTGCATCAGTCATGAGGCCCTCCGGATCTACTCCGAAGCGGGTCAAGAGTTAGCAGAGGGTAAGCGCGTCAAGTCTCGGGTACAGCATACTCGCACCCGAGTACCAGGTTCAGCTCTACGGAGCCGCCGGTGCTTGGATTCGTAGAGAGCCTGGCGTATCAGAGACGTCGCAGAGATTGTCGCACGTTTCAAAAGTCGGGAAAAGCTTATCCCTGGAGGTCGTGATGGGGTGATTGGGTGGAAAGGGGCCGGACCGGGCGCTGGGCAGGGAACTTGTCGGATGTGACGATTCTCCTGTAGGATCTGCATTGTTGACGTGGGGAAACAACTGCCAAGTATTCAGAATCTTGATCTTTCAGCCAAGGGTCGCAGGTCTGTCCCCATTCCGAGAGATTCACCGTACCGAACAAGCTTAGAATTAGTTGC